CTCCTCGCCCCGGTGCCGGAGCCCTGAGCCCTTCCCTTCCTCCCGAAGCCGCAGCGCTCGCAGGGTCCCACGTTTGCTGATCCTGCTGGGGGTGCACAGCTTCTACGGATAGAACGGGCTGAGGGTAATCCTGGTGCATTTTATATTGGTGTCGGGATCAATATTGGTTCTTTAGTGTTATTAATGTTAATTACTTAGTCTTATTCTATTAAATCTGTTGACATTTCAGCCCTCAGGTTTCCTTGTTTTTCCCCCCATTCCCCTTCCCAGGTGAGGAAGGGCCATCGGGTGAGAGAATAATTGTCTAAATGACAAGAAATTATTGTGGGTTCCTCAAACCGTAACAACCTCGCAGACAGGAAAAAACCCTGAGGCGCAGGAAGGGAATTATGAGGCTCCGGATTGATTCGCGGGCGGCTGCACCTCCCCGCAGCTCCGTAGCCCGTCTGACCACCTGTATCCGCTCCAGTCGGTCGCTGAACGGCGACAAGAGCCACCGCCACGAGGCCCCTGTCCTGCTTTTCGCTCTGCCTCCTCAGGCTGCGCTTACAGGGGAGTCCCACGGCAAGAGGGGGCGGCCCTGCCTCCATCCCCCGAGCACGAGGCCCCGGCTGGGCGAAGCAGGGCGCTGTGGAATCCCAGAACCAGTTAGGACGAAAAAAACCTTTAAGATCACAGAATCCAACTGTTAACCTGGCACTGCCAAGCCCACCATGTCCTTCAGCACCATCGTCCAGGTTGGAAAAGACCTTTAAGATCACCGAGTTCAACCGGACTTTTGGGGAAGTTCATCTCCAGGGCCGCGCGTTTGAAAATCCAACCAGAAGGACCCCAAACGCTGCCCCACGAGAGCTTCTCCCCTGCACCCAGGGAGCAACCCCAGCCTCGCTCCCCACACCGGGACCAACGGACGGCACAGCCACCACGTCGCCGGGAAACCACACCAGGGTCTACACAAGACGCAGAAGAGGGAATTTCTGCAGCGAAAAGAGGGAATTACTTCTGCAGCGAAAAGAAGGAATTACTTCTGCAGCGAAAAGAAGGAATTACTTCTGCAGCGAAAAGAGGGAATTACTTCTGCAGCGAAAAGAGGGAATTACTTCTGCAGCGAAAAGAGGGAATTATTTCTGCAGTGACAACCCAGGGAGTTCAGTGTACCTGTTCCCCACGAGGAGAAGACACTGAGCGCTCGCTACCCCCTGCCAACCTCCGACCACTGCCGGTGGGGACAGGGAGTTGAGCGGATGATTTGAGGGCCGGAGATCGCAGGAAAATGGAAAGAGGCAGAAAAGCAATCCCGAGAGAGGTCCCCGGGCAGTGACGGCGGCGGCCAAACCAGCGCAAACGGAGCCTACACAGGGACACCAGCGTCTCGTAGTTGTTCTCCATCACGCCCCTGTACAACTCC